TGGGTTTTTTCGTCTTCTTTTTGTCTCGCTTTTATGATGCCCCTTTTCATTATCTCTCTTTCTAACCCGTCCGTTCTCTACAATTTAATGTGGGGAATGTGCCCCCTTGCCCCCATAACAACGCCAATGAAAGTACGAACGTGACTCTAACGTCTGTCCGTGGTATAAGACCGGAGAAAACAAAAACAAACATCACACCTATTATACAAAAGAGAAAGGGCAAATTTATCGACTCGCTGCTCTCACTGAACCCTCTTTTGTATTACAAAAGAAGAAACAAAGCATCAAGGCCACGGTCAAGCACATCAAATCACCCTTGACAGAGATTATTTCATGCTCGAAGGATCGGGAATCATAATAACTTTATCAGACGCATTCACATGGTTTCCCAAGTTCAAGGGAGATGGAGTTCTATTCCAAAATAATGGAAGTCCGTGTACTCAGGGAGTTACTAGCCCATGGTGTACTCGAGTCATTACGGTTTTTGTTTTCAAATGTTTACGAAAACCCAATGTGACGGCCCAAATTTGTCTCATTTTTTAATACCAATGACGCACAGTAATGTGAGGAATTTTCACTCATTCCCAAACTACATTTGTACTAATTTTGTTTGTATACATGATGAATTCTCATGTCATGTATTCCATTATTTCCTCTCTCTTTTCCATTGTGACTCTGCTTCCCCTCACCCCCCCCCCCCCTCCGTCCATCCCTTTTTGTCTCACCTCCCTCACTTCCTCCCTCTCTTCCTCCCTCTCTGTACATCCCTCCTTTCCCTCTCTTTCCGACTATCACAACATGATTGCACCCTGAAAGAAAATCCCCCTTTTTAAATGGCCTTACATTATAATAGTTATAAATACCATTTGGAATAACATGCTTATCTTTATAATGTACACCAACGGAATACAAGAGCTTATTTAATTTGAAACACAATTCAATCATGACTTCGTGATAACCAAATTACAACGAGAAATTGTTCTTGACCTTTGAACACGGTTTAAATTATGTCTGTAATTAATTTTGTTTGTCTATTAAAACCAGTAAGGTTCAAATTACATCTTTCCGAAGGGCCATGGCTATTAGTCTAAGGCCATCACGAAAGGTATCAACAAGAAACGAGATTTTTCAATTATCATGATCACCTGGGCATGCTATATTATTCATCGCGTAATGAAATCATTAAGATATGAATAACAGAATTAATATAACTGATCTATTAAAATATCATACTCACTCTATTGAAAAACATTGGTTCACATCAGTTCAATACTAGAGTACAATGGTATAAGTCCATGCACCATACATGGTTCATGGTTTAATATGCCAAACTACTTTTCAAAAGTTCTTTTTGAAGTTCTTTTGGAATGCTCCTTTATTTATTCAACCACTGCTGAAGTGCTTTTACTTCAACATTCAGCAATGAAAATACAATGTATCTATAATACTAAAGACGAATGTGAACATAGCAACCACCATCATAACAACCAAACATGGCGTTACCAAGAGAAGAAGAAGGAAAAAGAGCTGTAAAATGTTATTCAAAATCTCATATTATCAAGGTTAGCCAGGAAAAGCCAATATTCACATAAGTTTGAGTATGTGATGACTGTATCGTCCAGGGGTGTTTGCTTTCCACTCCAAAACTGACATAAAATTATGAACAGAAGTAGTCCATCATCTTACTATGAAAAAAGGTAAATTTGGTGACTTTTGTGAAAGGCGGCTTAACAAAGATATTTCGTTACGAAATATTATTTATCATCAAATAGTCAAAATTTGAAATTCAACAGGAGCGGTTTCAAGTTTTCAACGAGCCGATCAAATCGATTCCAGGCACCCTGTAGAAACAAATTAGATTGTATTAATTTCAGCAGAAACGCATTTAGAAAATGGCAAAAGCCCATTTATTGATGTCAAACCAATGCGATGAAAAAAGACCACAACTGTACTATGACCTCCCACGTCGCCATTTCTTTAATAGGCCCCGCCCATCTTTAAGTACTTATAACGTATTCTATATACAGTGACTCAGTACAGCTGTCACAATACAAATCTCATAAAAATGTTGATAAGGGGATTACGGTCAAACAGAGCTTTATTCAACTAAAAACAAACTTCTCAATGGTCAATACATTATAAGATTGTATAATAAGCTGATAACGACTCAACGAGTATTTGACCAAGGTTGAGAGGGGTATCATGAAGTTCGGACTGTCTGTTCATTAGAAGCCCGGTCGGTCCCTAAACAAACACAGAAGCAGCTCTTGATAATATTATGTTTGTTCTGTAATCAAAAGGTATTGACCAGCACCAGCTGTAATTAAGTGCCAGCCGTATAATGGCATCAGCAGCATCGCAGTTTTATGACGAAGCACAACTTAAAAAAAATGTTTTGTTATTATTTTGTTCAACCATTCGTTACGCATCTTCCGTCTATGTATATATATACTTTGTGGTTAATGTGAAAATAGTAATCAGTCAAAGTAAATGAAACACGTTCCACATAACAGTTTTCATTCCATCCCAATGATCTATTTAATCAAACCCTTGAATTATTGGCGTAGCTTCATGGTACGGGGTACCCCCATCGAATGATACAGGGAGTGAGAGAGAGAGAGAGAGAGAGAGAGAGAGGGGGGGGCATAAATGAACCCACTTCCAAAGTCCAAACCCTACCTTCACCTTTCACTCGATGGAAATTTTCTCTCGCAATTCATACTGAAATAACAAGAACGATGCCCCCCCCCCCCATCCGATGGCTACTACATGTCTTAAATGTTAACTCTATAACATAGGACCTTGAGCCTTGAGGGTAAAGGTCTGCTTACTGTTAGTAATACCTAAATAACATCTTATTCCACAAACCTCAGACAAAATACATTAAAGCCACTAACAATGACATACTAGTAACCACCAAGCCACAACATTGCTGTCACGGTGAGCTGTTGTCTGTGGTCATAATCAAATGATGCTGCTATTCAATCGAGAAATGAAACCATATTTCCTCGATATCTCTATTTGCTATCATCAATGGTGTCATGTTAAATTGGCAACATTATTTGTCTGCTCGTGAACATGATAAGCTAGTATTGTTCTGCTCAAGAAGACTGGGTCTGACGATGACGACGACGACGACAATCACGATTTTGATGAACAGGCCACATATATTGATAATGATTGCATGTAGGATGAATCTAAACATACTATTAAATATCAACTATAATTATAAAAGTATGATTTATCAATTTTTCTTCGAAATTTCACATTAGACATTGCTAACATTTTGCTCATCAACAGTATAATTATTAATTCGACGCAATAAAACCATTACCATGATAACTAAATCCACTCTTGACATCACACAGAATGAAGGAAATTCATCAGGTTAATCACAATACCCCGTTAATCAGGAAAGGATAATCAAATTGTAGTGACACTGAAAACTTGATCTGTAACTATAGAGCGGTGATATTAAAAGGGGTGTCGATATGTCATTTCAAAATAACCTACATTTCTTTTGACAATTTGAGTCGTCAATTATTTTTGGAGAGATGTTGGTGTTATCAACTGCGCGAGGGGAGATTAATCCCAAAACACATTACTCATTGGCACCCATGCGCTGGCATCGAAGTCATCTTCCCTAATGTGACAACAAGAATTTGCCTCAAAGACTTTGACAGTATTGAGGAATTGTCATCGATACGTCATAAGTCATCCCAAACAAAGGACAGATGCCGAATCGTCTTCTTTTATTTTTAATTTGCAACGATGGTTGTGGATGCATGGTGTATGATGGTTATGATGAAGATTTTTATTATGGTTTCGATTGAGATTATGATGGTGGTGAAGTGATGCTCATGAAGATAAGTAGTGATGATGAAAGTTATGATGATTATGATGGGGATGATGGTGAATGGGATGGGTGGTAGTGGTGGTAGTTTTCTCCCCTTCCAGATGCAGCATTCTGCGAACTACACTTCTTATATAGTTAAAGCCTTGTTCAAGCCTCTTCACATTAAGGCACCAAAACTAGATGACTTGTAACGTTTCAATTCGAGAACAAGACACTCTCATATCCGAACTATCAACCATGACTATATGCTTCCAGCTTTTCTTTAGCAAGTACGAGGCGAACGACTGCATAGCCACTTAGTGTAGATATATGACTGAGAAATACCATCCTTTCATTTTTCCATTCAATAAATCTAATCAATATTCAACCTTTAGAGTTTAGACATGCCGATCGATTGCTACAGAATTTGAGTCAATAGAAAAATTCTGAGTCAATGGATATAATTAGATCCTAAGCAGTGTTAAACCATGGACCTTCTGGTTAAACACACATGATATGGATCATGGTTGCATTATCTATGCTTCTGTAGGTGTATGTACCGTCGGTCGGTCTAGGAGTTAGAGAGTCAATAAAACTCATCATCGCAATGATTTTATGCCAAGAACTGCTGTCTACACGAGACAGATATATATATAGTTTGTGGTATGAACAATTTTTATATCAGAGATATTATCAGCAGTCAACTTATCATCGACTCCCAGTGATACTAATAGACTATATGCCAAATATATACCACAACTTGAGATACATCAATTATTACTAGTAGTTATGATCAGTGACATACCATACTGAAATGATAAAGCAATTATACAAGTGATATATCGGCGGTGATATTTTAGCCATTATGACTGACATAATTTCACTGTTATCAGCAAGGGTGTCGATTTGTATCCGTGGTTGGGGGGATGATAGGTGCCAAAATATTTTCGGCAATGGATCAAAGCAACCAAGAGGTAGAAGATGGTTCCATATGAAGAACATTCAGTGACTGGCTTTCAGGAATTCGTGCACACCCCCTCCCCCTGACCTTGCATGCACCCCCTCCCCAAATCAATCATGGTATCGATTTCAAATAGAGGAGGACTTATTATTCAGTCTTATGAACATAACAATCAAATTATCCATCAAAAAACAGCTTTCCTACCTCGATGTTAAAATTATCATCTCGTCGTATTTCCTTTAGCTTTTTCAGCTTATCCGGCGTGGAAGAGATGTGGAGAGCAGGGACGTGATCAGTACTCCACGTCGAACGGAAACTCTCCGGGACAGGCATGGCGAAGAAGCTGGTGAAACGTCCGCTGAAGTAGCTGCAGTTACTGTTATCACAAGACTCGCTACTCCTGGAAATGCTACAGCTAAATTCCTGTGTTTTGATCACTGATGCTGCTGCTGATGAAGACAACTCTGTGCAGTTTGTAGCAAATATCCTGCTTTCGCCTTGGGGAGCGCACTTCAAATCGCGTCTGACTTGCTCAAAGGGGAAGTGAGCGACTGATATGAAAGAAATTTGATTCGAGTGACGAGTATCGCGATACCTATGACAAAGCTGTCGTCTGCTCAGTGCTTTCCCGTTGACGTTACACAGTTCCCTCTTCGTGTGAGTGAGCACAGACAATGCAGGACGGTAAAAATAGGGGACTCCCAGTAGCAGCTGCTCTACAGTGTTTATCCAACGGAGGCGAGACCCGCACAAACTGTACGTGGGGGACGTTGGAGAACGCACAGCGGCATTCAATAAAGGATGGTGTTGATGTTGAGGTTGAGCGTTGCAGGAGTCGTGACCGTCTCCCCTAGCGACCGACGAGGCTCGCACGCGCGGAAGCGACAATTCCGCATCATCCAATAATAAACAGGAATTCGATTCGCCAAGCACGTCTTCGCCATCTCCGCTACTCGTCTCATCATAATTATCATTCTCCATAATTACGTTGCGTTGTATTGTGGCGGCATGGCATTAAATCGCCATTCTAAACGTTTATGATCCCCTAATGATCCACCATACTTTCTCCTCCAGGCTAAAAACGCATGCCACCAGCCTAACGTGTTAACTCAATTGCACACCAAGGTAAAATGGACGAACCTTCACTTAAAACGCTGCTAGAACTGATACTAGAGCTAGCTGTCAACAATATCTTGTGTAGAAAAGGAACTGAGAAACTTCCGTCTTCAAACCCACTCGTCATTTTTTTCCTTTTTCTGTATAGCTGAATTGATTAAAGGGATTGGGTAGCTTTGTCTCAGATTCTGAAACAAAATCCTAGATTTAGCTCATGCTGCAATGATGTTATACATCTTTAGGTCAGTAAGGAACCCCATGTCTTGTACAAGCCGATCACCTGTCTGATTGATTATCAAGATATTTATGATTGGAAATCGAAATCAAATTTTGCGTTTTCCTAACGGTTTTCATAACACTGCAGTCTATTGGGGAAAAAGAGTATGGTAAAACCGGTAACTCAAAGATTTTTTACTTTTTTGAGGCACTTCATGATCATTTTGAAGCGCACTTTTTTCAGGGCTTCATTATTGCACCATATCACATACACTGATAACACGTATAAATATGGCCATGCATCTCATATTTACCCTTGTTAAACGATGCCTTTAAAGGTCATTCATTACCTTTCGAAAGTCTGCTACGTATACATTGTGAAAGTAGGCCAAAGGTTTGACCAAGCGTGTTCACTTTAAAGGCCATATCGGACAATAGATACCCAACTATTTAACGATAGAGTGAATAAATATATTACAGGCTGCATCTAAACAACCTCAGTGATATCAAAAGGAATAATGAAAAGGAATGTGAAAGTAAAAATAGCTTGCAGTTCTATTATGAACGCACTCGAGTACGCTTATATAATCACGATATTAAGCGGAACGTACACTAACAAGTTTTCCCAGTAAAATTTAACCTATCTTAGTGGTCTTGTCACCTGCCCATATAGCGGTCATTACGTGTAAAATAAATCTCCTGTTTACATAGGCCATCTGTTTACAATCATCACTTTTTCTTTTCCCCTTGGGTTGCCTTTAATATAGACAGATTATTTACTGTATCTGGATACGAATGTTCAATTTCAATCACCACTTATCTGTATAATCAAACGATGGATAATATATTATGCCCACTTTAAATCAGTTGCTTTTGCGTCTCTTCTCGCTTCATGAAAATAATGAAGGCCTTTAACGCACTTTCACTATACTGCCATGACAGCCCGGGTTTCAAGAGTTTTCCTGTTTCCTACAATCATTTATGACTTCTGTCTATCTTCTTTTAACTATCTGTCTCCCTCTCCCTCTATCTCTCTTCCCCTCTGCCTCTTTCTCTCTTTATTTCTCTCTCTCTCTCTCTCTCTCTCCCCTCTCTCTCTCTTTGTGTTCTTTCACTGTTTACCCTTTTCTCTATCCTTCTCCATATTTCCCCTTCTCTTTCATTCCCTCTCGCTCTTATATTTTCTGTCTGTCTCTCTCTCTGTCTCTCTCTCTCTCTTTATATATATATATATATATATATATATATATATATATATATAACTTTTTGTTCTATAACTTTCTACCCTTTCCTCTCCTTCTTTCCCTTTCTCGCTCTATTCCTCTCGCTATTTTGTTTTCTGTATCGATCTCTCATACTCCCCATGTATCATACTAATTTATACATCTCATTCTCATCCCTTCCAAAGTTTCCTTGAGTAGTTACTTATGTTAACATCACGTTCAGATGATTGTAATATTTGAACATTTCAATAGGTGACGCACTATGCTTTTACGATAACCTAGTTTCTCAAAAGTTTTTGCGATTGTGTTATACGATGATATGAAAGCAAGTTCTTGGTAAAACAACAAATTAATACATTAAAAAAAACCTCATATCTATGAAGGAGACAAAGGAATAAAAACAGTCCTAACTGTATTCTGATATCTAAAGATTTTCAAAACGAAATTACCTGTGAAAGAATAGGCCTATAACTAACATTTTTAGAAACTGTTGTAATTAGTAGCTACAATAGCCATCAATTTCCTTCTCTCTTTGAATGGGCATTGTTCCGAGCCAGTTTTAGTAACTGTCCATAGCGAAATCCTTTTTTTTTCCTTCTAAAAACAACTGAGCTCATAATCCAATCATCTTAAAATGGGAAAATCACGAGTCCACGATGTCTCCAAAATTGCAGAGAATCAACACCCCCACCAAAGATTTTGAATAAAGTATATCGTTTCAGTCGCAACGAATGTATGGAAAGAGAACCTAGAGTTCTGTTACTTTACCATGGTAACAAAGCCAGACAGATTAGAGGAAATTGTTCATGAGAATGACTATGTCTTCCATTTCTTGGTTTTTGTAATAACTTTGTAGACTAATTAAGATCATGTTTTTAATAGGGTGACTACATCATGAGGATGTTTATGTTTCCTTGAAACTTGGTCAGAAATAGAGAATTAGTGCATTCGCGTGACAGGCGTTGTCTAGACATCAAATTAACAGCAACAACAACAAAACACTTGAACAACGAAATCCATCTGAAAATGAAAAGAGTTCACAAAGTCAAAGAATGGAAGCGCATAAATACCTCCCACACTAATTATTGTGGAATTTCCGTCTATTGTGGAAATTTCCGATTTGTCTTTCTTAGAAATATAGTAAACAACAACAACGACCAAAAAAGAAGGAATTATCACCAACAACGAAGCACTGAATTGACAAAAATATTTTGATAATGATAGGGGTTGTATAATAAACTTAAAGTATTTAAGCACGTTAACACTGCCCATACTGAGTAATCATAGGCATTAGGGAGTTCCTTGTGGAAATCCTGTGATTTTGTGATGTATAGACAATAAAATGAAGCAGCAACAAACACAGCAACAAACGCTGAAATCACAAAATCTTATTGACACTGACAACGGTTAACGAACCTTTAAAAAATGGGCACAAAATTAATAATCGTGTTTATTACAGGCGTCAAAAAAAAGAAAAAAAGTATAGCATTGCGAAGTTAAAGAACGGACAGGTGTATTAATCATTGGCTTCCTTCCATTGTGGAATTTGTTTGAGTTATTAAAAATGTTTTTTTTATGTTTAACTGCTAAGAAAGCATGTTTATGCTTGTAAGCAAGCAACCAGGGCCCGACGGCTTTAAGTCCTCTCCGATGGAACTGGTAATGAGGATTGGTTTCGAACCCAGGACCTCTCGGTTACGAGACCATGCACTGCTCTACCACTGAGCCATCGCGTCTCCTCCTTTGTGATTTGCGTCATTCAGACATTATTTTGACTCTGAGGAGGTAAAAAAAAAACAACTGAAATAACATGGTTAACACGGATGAAGATTTGACGCTTGTAAATACTTCCCATACTCATTAATCACTGATTAATACCTTCCACTGAGGAAGTTTGAGATTTGCGTTGTCTATAACAAAATTGACAAACCACTGACAAAAAGGAGATCTCTTTGACAAAAGTAGACATGACTATTGAACCAAGTCAAGAAGTAGACGCACGTAAACACTTCACATACTTATTAATCTTGTTAATCACGGACTTCCTTCATTTGTGATATATGGAGACTATAGTAATAAAAAAAAAACACACATAAAAAACAACAACAACAACAACCACAACAACAACACACTAGAACACACCTAATTTGACAAGGGTTAACGACGTTCAAGATTTGACATTCATGAACGCTTTCCATAATAATTATAGGTTTCCTTCCTCTGTCATGTTTGCGGAAATGTTCGATTGTTACCAGCTAACCACCACATAAAACATCGAACAAAGGTGATCACGCAAACCGACACTAAAATCACTAATTACCACGTCAACTTCCGAGCACTGACAGATACAGGTTACATGGTATTGAAATAATTAGTATGAGGAATACTACCCCCGGACAACAACACCCCCCCCCCCCCGGACGACGACATCCTCACTTTACCCCCCCCCCCCCCTCACTACAAAAAGAATCCACCAACAAACAATATTACTCCCAGACAGTTACCTAAACAACAACAACAACCACAGCAACAACACACTAGAACACACTTAATTTGACAAGGGCTAGCGACGTTCAAGATTTGACATTCGTGAACGCTTTCCATAATGATTATAGGTTTCCTTCCTCTGTCTTGTTTGCGGAAAGGTTAGATTGTTACCAGCTTACCACCATAAACACTGAACAAAGGTGGTCACGTAAACCGCCACTAAAATCACTAATTACCACGTCAACTTCCAAGCACTGACAGATACAGGCTACATGGTACCCCCGGACAACGACCCCCGGACGACGACATCCTCACTTTACCCCCCCCCCCCCCCCCCCTCACTACAAAAAGAATCCACCAACAAACAATATTACCCCCAGACAGTTACCTATACAGCTTGCCTTAACCATGGACTTAATTAATAACTTGATTGTATCAGGGTCATTTGTTGTCTGGGGATATCTGACCGGGGGAGTTGTCCGGGAGTAGTTGGCCAGTGTTGATGGTGGTAGGCATAACTGTTTCTAAAATGGCCACTAATGTAATGTAGAGAAGATAACTAATGGATGCAACGTTTTCCATTCACTGTGTATCAGGTAGGGTTGGGGTTAGGGTTACGTTAGTGGATATTTTTTTTAGAAGCAAGCCCTTACGACTGATTAAATAATGCTTATCGGTGATCGCCTAAGATTTTTTTTTTTTTTTTAAAGCTTTTTTGCCTTTATTCAGATCTTCATAATTACAAAAAATGATGAATAGGAACACAATTGTTCTTACAGTATAAACATACATGTAGTACATTGTCTCATACATTTTAAACACAGACATATTTAAAAAATATTTTCCATGAGTATCCAAACTAATAAAGTACACATTCAAAACAAGTGTACAGAATATGCTCCAATTCCTTTAAAAAGGAAAAGGTGACAGTAATACTTGGATACAACAATATACAAAGGAACAATTTTTACAACATAATAAGCAAATTAATTAATTCAATATAAATTAAGCAATCTGAACAAAGATTTTCTTATATAAACAAAAAATATAA